GCAGGAAGTGTCAGATGTTGTCTGACAGAATTTCAGCTTGTATCGTTTCATGTTACAATGCTGTTAAGTTGCGCACTGTGTTTCAAACAAAATCTGCGTTCCCTTCCTTCAGAAAGGATCGTTTGATTTATTTTCAGAAAAATTTTGTTGTATAGAAATTCAAATTCAGATGAGAAGCGGCGTAGATTGGACGAAGGAATCTGTGGTTGGAAACGCGGATTTCGCAACATGTTCCCGCCTATTTGCGTTTAAGTAGTCGAAGCCAAGTTTTAAGAACTACTGAAGCAGTTAATGATTTGTTGATTGGGCCGCATCTGATGGACAGTCCTGACTGTGCCGCTGAATATGAAGACACATGGTTTTCTATTCTACATAGTGCTCACTTGGTTTATCATCTCCGAGTCCTTGAGGCTGTGCATATGAAATTTTACCAGCCGAGCCTATGTAAACAATAGGAGCATTTCATGCCTTCCTTATGATTGATCGAGGGACTGTGTGTTTCTTTTACCATTTTATACTCTAGTGAAACTTGTTAATCATTTTATTAATTATTTACAATTAAAACTTTTTTAATCGCGTTCCAACTTTCCTTCCTCTTTCTTTTTATTGTGTCTTGTTTTGTATTTCGCCAACGATTGCCTTTGAAAAAGCGCTGACCGTAAGGATCCTAAGGTAAAAAAATGACTTCAATTTTGTGTAAATCTATGTTGTATTTCTGTGGGCACAATTCTCTTTATATATATATATATATATATATATATATATATATAGAGAGAGAGAGAGAGAGAGAGAGAGAGACTATTTACATTGGTCCGACTGTTGTCCTCATCTTTATTGCCATATTCACGACGTTTCGCCCGATGTACACCCTAGCTTTCTTCAGGCGATTGAAATTTTGAACCAAACACTTTATTTCGTCCATTGGGTTAGATTCTTCTAGTTCCACATGCCATGCCTTTTTCGGATATCTTAGTTTCAGTTATTTCCATTTAGTAATTCGACTCTTTAAATTTTTGTTCACCTCAGGTATTGAACTTAGAACTCTTTGATCCAAGCGACTGGATTACTTCAACCAACGCTTTTATGCATTGAGCCATGTTTCCTTGTTCCAATCATCTGGAGAAGGCCGGAGTGTACAACGTCGTGAATATGACAATAAAGATGAGGACAACAGTCCGAACAATGTAAATATTGTAAATAATTACAATACCTCCTCTCAGAAACACAAACAGATATATATATATATATATATATATGTAAAAAGGTATAGTAAGGAAAACACTCAAAAAAAGACTGTCTATAATTATAAATTAATTGTGATTTCCTAAGCCTCGCTTAGTTTTGGCACAAGGCCGAAAATACGGTGCACCCCGTGAGGGTTGAACTGACTACTCACTCGTAATTGATCTAGCGGGGCACGCTTGGTAAGTATTACACCACGTCTAAGTGTCCAATATTATTAGAAATTAATTAATGTATTACTAAAAGTATAGATCTATTACATGTATAATATTTTGTATCTTTTCACTGTAAAAATAATGTTTCACTGGCGACCATAGCTAAAAAGGAAATTACAGTGGATCTCAAATCGTGAGTTGTGTCCTTAACCTTCTAGGAATTGTCAGTAATATGAAACACTGTTAACATATTTGGGAAAGAGCTGACCATACCTCACGTTTCAGTCTTCATAAGCGTCCTTGATTCCTCGTTAAGGAGAAAAATTATTTTTCCATTCCAACCTCTTTCTCACAGGCGGGATGTGGCGAATCTCTCATTGCTCTATCGCTATTACCATAGAAAGTGCTCGGAAGAATTGCATCTCCTGGTTCCACTAGGCCTCACCTTCATGGCTAGGTTCCGCCATGCCACTTGCATAGTAGGAAACCACGCAAATCCCCCAGCCTTATTCCATCGGCGAGAAGTAAGTTCCACTCAAACAGTTTCATACTGCGAACCAATGTCCTATGGAACAGACTTCCAAGAGGATGTTTCCCCGATCACAACAATCTCAACCTGTTCAAGTGTAAAGTCAATCTTCCCCTTCTATCCATATAAATTACCCCTTAACGTAACCCTCTACCTTCAGTGGCCACCGGACCTTTTACAGGGTGAAACTTACTTTATAAAAAGTAAAAAATAAAAGGATCCACAAATCTTTTGTATCTTTTTAATTATTTTTTTAATAGGTATCACTCCATGCTACCTAAACACAAAGGGGTTACTGGACAACTGGACACGGAAGAATTAAAAACAAAAACATTAATAATGAGCGGGAATATGAAAGATTACTCAGAATGACAGTAGATAGCGATTGACTTTGCTCTTAAATTTTTGAAGATTAAAGTTGGCTGGAAAGAATGAAGCTGGAAGGCAGTTCCACAGGCAAGAAGTGCGAGAAATGAAACTGTTAGCATAGGATGTACCGTTACATCTAGTCTGCTCAGCTGTAAATTGATGAGATCTCGACGCCAGTCTAATGCTATGCTTAAATTCAGAATGTCTAGGTCCCATAGCGAAGAGCTCACCCGAACAATTACCATGAAAATATTTATAGAAAAGACACAGAGAAGCAGCCTTACGGCGGTGGGAAAGTGACTGAAGGCAAGCCGCCAGCTTAAGACTAATATTGCTGATTCTTCTTTGCGTTTTATTAATGAGCTCAAGGTAAATAGCAGGGGAACCGGATTATGTATGGCAGCATTCTCATTATAGACGAGTTAGACTTAGAGATATGTAATTTCGAAACATCTTTGTAAAAGTGTATTATTGTTTCCATTCGCTCTGTCACAAACTTAGTTACATTGATAGTTCAAACGTTTTTAGCTCGCAAATATCCTTTATCTTTTGTTAGTTTTGGTTATATGCTACGCTAAAAACTATATTTTAGATAAAGATATTCAAATAATAAAAGTTGTAATTAGTTTTGCAAATATTTGCCATATTCAGAACATTAGGAATGAAAATGCCGACTTGTGCTTGCACGTGGAAGCAAATGCAGATAAGGAGTTGCCTGTTTTGAAAATATTAATCTTTTTAATATTAATGAAAAAAATACCCCACCTAAGGGAATGGCATTTTATTTCCTTCAGTTCTTTTTGATTCCCTTATCCCATGTTTATTCTTCCATCTTTCATGATCGCCAGCAACGGCTTCATAGACTAAAATCTTCTCGATTTCCAAAACGGTTTTTACCACGGGAGGTTAAAAATGGATTGCAGTGATTAGCTCACATACTCAGCTATTGCAATCTGCCTGAAACGTCATTTTGAATGTAACGATCACAAAATACGCATGCTTACTCAGTGGCGACCCACTACCAAATGAATAAACTCGCGGCTGTGTCTGTTCATGTCTTCACAGTAATATTCCTTTTGGCTGGCAGGTTATATCAAGATTCCGTAACCGAGATATTCCAAGAAATATTCTACAGCAGACATTGGAAATAATCAATGAGAATACCATCATCATTTGACCATAGTAGGAATCATGGAGCCAATGCGAACGATACTTTCCTTTAGCTGTATAGTGTGTGCTACGCCAGAGGCTTCATACAGTTTTGAATTGACAGTTAGTTTCTTCTAGACTTATTGCTAACCATGTCTGTAGAACACAGTCTGCCTTGTAAATTACCCATAGCTGAAGGGAGAAGAAGAGGATTCATACCTTTTCCTAGGGTATTAGTACGTAAGTGAATGTAATGGATCCGACTGGAATTCGAACTCGGCTATCCACCGTACCTCGAATGAGAATAAAACCAAATAAAATAATATAAATCAGTTTAAACCAAGTACAAAGAACAATTAAACCAAAGAGACACACAGTAAAAGAGATAGCAACATTTTGCGGAAATTATATGGTGCAATGAATTAACCTGATATGGAATTTTATGATGAGTTAGTTCTCACTTTTAAATCCTCATCGACTTATAAACTATGCAGGGACTTTATTCTTTTGTTGCCTGCTTAATATCAAATAATCAAGTCATATGCTTTATGTATACGTATGATGACATGGCTTTAACTATAAAAATGTATGAAAAATACCAGTTAGCATCAACAGTGAAGACAGGCGAAAGCAGAGACAAAGAAATAAAATATTCTACTGTTTCGCTTTTAAGTAGTTAGAAGTAATTAGATTAAAGCGGTTCTTTGTTTACTTGAGGAAGAAACTTAGTCCTTGTTTCATTTTCTCTAAATGACATTTTCAATTTCATTAAGGATATTCTGTAAATGCTAGAATTCATTGTAATTGGAGGATTCAATATACGCTGCATATGTTGAACGCAGAAAAACTTCCCAACCAAGTTGCAACAATTTCTGCTTTGCCACGCAAACAAAATGCCACCTACCAATGGAATATTACTGGAGAGACGCCTTCATTGGTTCTAACTTGGAGTAATAATTGTTCCAAATGATCGTCAGGTTCTACAGAAGGAGAAGTCTCCCGTTTAATCCCACGTAATGCACAGTATAAATTCCCTGGTCGTTTCGTTCACTAGCTCCATAATCTTTTGCATTTCGACAGTGTTGTGAAATATCAAATCTCACAATTAAATTTTTTTTTAAATTTCGTCTCTTTATTGTAAATCGAACAAGTAAAGACTTGAAGCGACATAAGTATTATTCTATGGAAGGGTGCTAAGAATACCATGAAGTTAACATGTTAATAACAAAGAACAGTTAAATCGAATAGAACCTACAAAGAAAGTGCTCAAAACAATCAGAAAGATTCAGCAGAAATTTCTGTTTTTTAATGACTGAATTGTTTTTTACGGCTTATCAACCTTCTGAAGGTTATTTAAAGAAAAAACGTTCTTTTAGATAATAATAATAATAATAATAATAATAATAATAATAATAATAATAATAATAATAATTGTAATAATAATAATTTACTGATACAAATCCTACTAATTAGATTCATACCTTAATAATATGAACCCCACTGGAATTGAAACTCGGCTCTCCGATTTCCAGTTCTGAGCCATTATCCAAGCTTAGAGCACCTAGCATTGCCAAGCGATCACCTATCTAGGTACTGACCAGGCTCAAATTTGCTTAACTTCTGTGCTTGTACGAGAACTGGTGTAGAATTTCTGGTAGACATAAGGAAAGAGAAAACAGTGAGTATTTAGTTAGCATATTTGAGAAAATGGATGGTAGAATAAAGATAAAGAGGAATGATAAAGACATAAAAATTACTTTGAGAAACAAAAGACAGGTAGGTGTGGAGAACCATGATCGCCCACGCTCTGAAATGAAAGCATATAAAAGCAGGTGAAGGTTTTTGCTTATCTTATGTAAAATTCACACGTCCAAGGATCTAATATAGGCAAGCTGATGTAAATGATTTTCAACACTCCACTTTCTGATCTCTCGCATTGAACCCACTCAAGCAATATCTTTTATTTAGTTGCTATCAACTTCAATACTTTCACTTGATTCTCTCCTATCGTTCAGCAAGAAATTTTGTGAGCAAAATTTTGCTAAGTTCTTTTGACACATTCGGATTTTCACAGTACCTCAAACATAAACTACACATCGTCTTTTTGCAATTTTATTTTTCTTAAATAATTAATGGATGACTTAATGAAAAGGTTTTCTTCTTATGTTATCAATAAGAATATATATATAAATAAATAATATAAAAACACTAATTTTAACAAATTTTTAAAAAATACGGAGTTTGTTACAATAAAATCAAAAGTTGTCATTTTTGAAGAATTAAATAAAATTAAAAGAAAAATATTATCTAAATACAAGCAAAAAAAAGCATGATATTTTTGTCCAACTTCATTGGCAATAGTATGGCAGATTATCTTGTTATACTTACCAATAAAATATGGTTGTTAGCTGTGTAGCGGACCCCTACATCCTAATTGTAATAATACGGAGGAAACACCCGCATGACTAAATAACCTTGCTACTACTTGACCCCTACAGGAGGCATTCTGGTATGAGAAAAAAAGGATTTAATGGTTAACCATTAAAAGAATGTAACTCTGTTGATGACGCGAAGTCAGCTTTATACCCGAAGGAAAACAGACGTGTTAAGCCCTAACGATCATAAGATACTCTGTAGGCATTTCTGACTTGACTGTAAAGGAGACAAATTTAATTAACCGTGGTCGTTCGAGGTCCGGGCCACCCAGCGAGCGCCACCCAAAACGAAATTATATGACTCGCTCCGAATTGGCAGAATTAACTTCACACATCTTGTACAGTAAGGTCTAGCGGCAGATAAATTCAGTACTATTATCTCGCAACTCTTGTCTTCTTTCTGTCTTCGAATAAAGAAAATAGAGCACTGTGAAGACCGATATTTCATGTCGATAGTAGGTTTTCATCTTAACTTCGTCATTATACAATGCTTATTATCAGAAATAGAAAAGTCAACAAAGAAAGACGGCAACAAACATCGGCTGCTTAATGCAAGAGCAATTCA